GGAAACTATGGAAGAAGAAAACATGCTGTAGTGAACCGATAAATTAGTTGTCTCTGCAGTGGAGGACAATTTGGGTAGTAGTAAAGTGGGCTGCCTTTGAGAACGTGTCTACAACTCTTTAATAACACTTCTGAAGAAGCTGGCAAAACCCAGGATTCACTGAAGCTGTTTTCTGGGAGAGGGAATTTAGCCACTGCTCTCATCTTTTCTGGATGTGCTTTCATTTACCCACTCTGAATTATATACCCCAAAAATGAGACTAAGAGGAAATGTGGCAATGGTTCTAGGGTCTATGACTCAGCGTTTATGTATTCTGGGGAGACATCTGGGAAGACTCTTTCCGTCTCCCCAATCAGTCATGTTCCTATATTTGTTTCTCCCCGGTCCCAGTGCCAAGCCTGTCTGCCTTTGTCTTTGTCTCCATGGGTATCATACTTTTTGGGTTTTCTTGTCAGTCTCTCATCCTGTGTTCAGTGTGTTGAGTTTTTCGTCCCCTGTCCTTTTAGTCTTTATTTGTTCCAGCTGTGTTCCCTCCTGTTTCCCATCCTGTTGTTATCCTGTGTGTATTTAATAGTTGTACATTCCTAGTTGCAAAATCATAGTTCCTAGCTTATCTTTTGTTTGTTTCTATTAGTGTTTTCATATTTTATTTCGAGTACCATATTACAGCAAATAAAGCTGCCTCCTTTAGTTCGCTCCCTTTGTTTCTGAGTCCTACGTTTGAGTCATTCACCTGCCTGCCACACAGCTTTACATGAAACATGGAGCTTTGACACAGAGCTGGTTTTCTAGGAGCCTCTACAATAGCTTCCTCACATACTGTTGATACCCAGTATGAAAAAGATGAGGATGTCATCAAGGTATATAAACACTGATTCTCAAAAGTCATTTACTGGGGTTTGGAAAACTGCTGCAGTATTGGTTAGTCCAAATGAAATGACTACATATGCAAAGTTTCCTGGGGGTACTGACTGCAGTTTTACATTTATCTTATCAATACATACTAGAAATGATAAGCATTTCTGAGACCCAAATTGGTGAAGATGGTGGCTCCCTGCAAAGGCTATAAAGTTGTACTGTTTGAGGGCAGGGTGTGTTTATTCTTGATTGTGATCTGGTTTAGACTTTTATAGTCAATACATGTTTTGCTTCCACTGGTGAAGAGGATAGCCATAAGATTGCTGCTGTCACGGTCATAGTGAAAATGTGTCATGTGCAGTGTTGGTCAAGTTACTTGAAAAAAGTAATCAGTAACTAATTACTGATTACTTCCCCAAAAAAGTAATCCCGTTACTTTACTGATTACTTATTTTCATAAGTAATTAATTACTTAGTTACTTTTTAAAAACACGATTTACAACCTGAAGAGGTGATAAAGCGATAGATCTTTCAGCCCAATTCTACTTTTTCTACATAATCCATCATACAAAATGTAATCAAATGGAAAAGTCTCTTTTTAAAACTTGTTTTATTAGTTTTAATCTTTTAACTTTATGCATCAAGCAAAAATTTAATTATATGCAACATTCTCTGACTTGAATAAATTAGTTTAACATTTAAACCTATTTTCTACACATTCCAGCACATAAAATAAAATATTTTTTGTGTTTACACTCACTCTTTCAAATAGATGCAAGTAAAACACAGCAGAAAATAAATAAAGTCAAAGACTCAGTGGTCCTGTTGCTCTATTTTCACCTGTAAAGCAGGACTGCGGTAGGCGGAGGTTTACCCTGGTACAGGTGTGCTGCGGTCAGTTGAAGAATCCGCGAGTTTCTCTGTGAGTTTCCCATTACGTTGTTGCGCACTCGGTGCTTGCTCGGAAGTTTAGGGGTTTTTTTCGCTGTAAAAAGAAGTTTTCTTCCCACGCACGATGGACACTAATGTTTTTGTCACTTTTTATGGAATCAAACTCAAAGTAAGGTCAGTACTTCCACGCTTTAAACGCTGCACGCTCATACTCTCTCCCACAATCGATATGTGATCCATTGTTGATCTGCAGACAGCTGTTGTCACTAACGGTGCACTCGCTTACGTCACTGTCATGAGACATTCTCGCAAAAAATCACGGTTTTAGTAACGCAGTAACGCAGCGTTAGTATGGGAAAGTAACGGTAATCTAATTACCGTTTTTGCAATAGTAATCCCTTACTTTACTCGTTACTTGTAACGCGTTACTGCCCATCTCTGGTCATGTGTTGAAAATGAGAGTGTGTTGAGGCACCTAGACCACAGTAAACCTCTGGCAGAGAACAGAGGTCAGGATGGAGAGTGGCTAAGGTCAAATGACAGCTGATATGGCTGACTGAAAGCAAGTGGAAAGACAAAAGTAACACCAACTGGCAATCCTTCCCAATTTACAACTTGCACGAGAGACTACATTGGAGCTGTTTAGTGGCTAGCTAATCCTTAAATTGTCCATTAAAACTGTTAAAATTATCTCGGAGAGCAAAATTTCACCATTGCGATCCAGTGGTCACATGAAGCTGCAGTAGCTTAGCTGAATAATCAGATATGCTGCCAGAGATTGACATGTCTATGAGCAGCACTCTCCCAGAGTAAAGGGGTCATCAAACTCAGCTAACAAATCATTAATAGGCATGGGTCCTAATGGCTAAATAAACCTTCATGAATAAATGTATCTATTTATTTTTTCTAAAGGCCTTCTCTTTAAAAGACTAACCTGGGGAGAATCTATAGAAAACAAGCAGGGTTGATGACTAAAAGGAAGCAATTGCTGAAGCAATTACCCACTACCAATATAACCTCCCTCAGCCTCAAGCATGGGGGAAGAAGCATCACAGAAGGGAGGTGGGGAATCTTTTTAGGCTTGTAGGGGTTTTAGCTGCGGACTGAGACAAAACTAAGAGAGTGCTTGGTGAAGCTAGAGATTGGAGGAGAGCTCTGATTACAACAACTTGTTTTGGGATGTGATTTTGTTCCAGCAATGTGCAGATAATCTGTTGACTGAGTATAATCCTTGGTTAATAAGGTAATTTTTTAATTGATGCAAAGCCTGTACCGGAAGCATCAATCTAAAACCACCCTCCCCTTGTACATATTCAAGATCATTGCAGCTGTGTTTGTCCATTCTTCCCACTGGTTCAAATATGACTAGAGTGCCTTTGTGGTTCTCCTGTGTCTCATTCGATCATTTTGTCATAATGAACTCAAAATGGATAGACCTTTATATGTAGTCCACAACTGCAAATCAAATTGTTTATTAACAGAGGCTAATCTGAGCAGTGAATAATTGTTGCAGACAACTAATGAGTGGGCTAGAAGGTCAATGTGCATTGTCCAGTTCCAGTGAGATTGGGGGATCCACAAAACCTTTTCAGAGAAGCCTTGAAGATCTGGAGCACATACCAAGGGGTTTCTAAAGACAGAAACAACGGATAAGTTACAAGGAATTAAAGAAAGCATGAAACAAATGAAGCTTGATATTACTACTACTGCAGCTGAACAACCTGGTAAAGGTGGATGAAAGAAGGTGGTCTTTATATACAAAGGATGAATAATGGAAACCAGGTGTACACTGCCTCCCAGTCTTGATTAACTGCCACACCCCAGAGTGGCAACCTGTTATGCCTTCATGAGCAAGAATAAGGGAGAAAATGTGAGTGAAGGCACAGAGACCATGACACTACTAAAGTAGCTTTTTTTTCTGTCAGAGAATGTTTAATTTTTCAGATTGAATCTTCAATTGTTCATTTTTTTCCCACCACAGTGCGTGTGTCAATTGTGTGAATAAACAGTTTTCAGCTTCTACACAGTAAAAGTAAATGACTTTAGCCCGGGGACTGTAGTGAGGACATTAACAGTGGAAGCTTGATATCATCACCAAAGTGCTCCTGGCCAAGGGCTTCTTTCCTATTTCTTTTTTACGTCCATCTGTTTTTTGAACACAGATCTGACAAACATCATGAGTTCAGTTAATTTAGTCTTTGGCTTGAACACTTTATCCTTTCAGCCTCTCCGTATGGATTGGGAAACCAATCTTTTGAAGTGCCCTTGAGCAAAGCTTGTCTGGAAAACTTCCCCTATACTGAAACATGTTTGTTATTTGGTCTTTGGTGTGTATGTGGTGTGTAACTTGTTATACTTCACATCAAAAATTGCTCTTTATTTGATTTAATTTGCCAATATGTCCTTGAGTGAAGCATTGTGCTTATCTTACTCCACCAAACTTTTAATCACCTTGTATTATTTTCAGCTTCACACAACCCTACCTACTGACCCTTCAATACACCTGTATTCTCTGAAAGAAAAATACGTTTCTGCTCACTAAAATTAAATTACTTTTTTTTATCAAAACCTGAAAATGGATGTGTTGCTCTGTAAACATTACATTCTGTTTATTTTAATATGTATTAAACATGTGAACAAAAGACTAAATTAAAAGCTTAATACAATTTTCTATGAAACTTTACTGTGCAATGCTAAAAAAGGAGTGTACTTTTATTCATTGATTAGCAAAAATGGCTGTCTCAACAAGCTTTTCAAGAGCTTACTTGATAACCCTGAAACAGGGAAGTCTAAATACATGGTTATGTTAGTGCTTATTACAAAGTAATCACAAATTCATTGATTTCATGAAATTTCTTAAGAATATAGTAGGGCTCTATCCAAAATTTTCAGTGTACATTAATCATTAAATGAGCAACTGTGAAAGTTCAAATTTTGTGTTCAAGAAGTTGTATTTTATTGAATGTTTTACCTTGTTTACCTACAGAGTACGATGCTCCGTACTCACTCAAGAGTAAATATTCAGTTGTTATACAAGAACCTTTATTGCTTTTGATTGAAAAGCTGGTGGATTAAAAACTGTGTTCACAAAACAGTCACTGAGAAAGTTAAAAAAACCAAATCATCTAATGGCAGCTGAAGCATCAACCTAAAATCACCCTGCTCATGTTCATACTACAAATCCTTGCAGGTGCGTGTGTCTATTCTTTCCAGTGCTTCCAGCATGACTAGACTGTGCTAATGGTTCTCAGGTTGGAATCCCCAACTCGGACCCTAACTCTAGAGGCCCCCAGAGGTGTGGAGGTCAGTGCTGGAGTGGGAGATTTTACGGCATCTTGTAGAAAAGACCTCCTCTTGCAGTCCTCAGAAGGAGAGGTGAGTGTGAGCTTACATTGTATTTGTTTATGCATGTGTGTGTTTGCATGTAAAACTGTTTGTGTACATACTGTTATGTTTTACTGTGGTGGGTATCTGTGAGTGTTTGGAAGATAAATGGAAGTTAGAAGCCAGGGTGGGCGATTTATTGAATATACTCAATGTATTGTGGACTTTTCCACGTACAGTGGTTAAAATGGCTTTATTGTAATCATCGAGTATAAGTTGCCATGGTTATATTAAGCTGTCTGCAGGTAATTTACTGAGTTTTTTTTATGAGTTTTTTTTATGCCAATGCTGCGAATGTATTATTAACCCGTAAAATGTTCACTGCGTTGAACATGGGTGTTTATATACTACCAGACAGGGAAAATATGGTGACAGCGGGAGTTTCAGACAAGTGAGGGAATGAGACTCACTGTCGTTTGGATTTTACAAGGAGGATGTTGAACAAAATCCGATAATTTGCAAAATGTGCAGTAAAACTATTCCTGCAAAACGTAGGTGTACCAGAAATGTATTCCACCAGCTGAAAAGTCATCCACTGAAAAATTCAGTCTGTTCACACACCAAAGAAAACATTAAATAAACCAACAGTGATACTTGTGACTGTTCTTGGTCAGTCATTTTTATAACCACTGTCTTGACTTTTGTTTCTGTAATTTGAGGTCATCACATTTTTTATTTTACAATTTTTATATGTTATAAGCTCAAAAGAGCACCTTTTTAATTTCGGTTGTTTTATTTTTCCTCGTGAATTCTTGCTTAATGTCCTTTTTTTTCCCTTACTATGATCTTTTGTTTGTTAAAGAGAGAGACATACTGTGACAGTATAGTCATTTGTGAAAAACCTTGGTGGGCAATGGATGGTTAAAAAGCGGTTAAAATGAAAGATTTTAATTAATTCAGATTTTTTGTATTTAAAGTAGAAAAAAAATATTGAACGGTTGATTTGAATGAGTACACAAGTGCAATTTTAGGCACCATGTGGTTGAAAATAACATTGCTTTTTGGAGGTTATTTAAAAAATATCGTGCTAAATATTGTGTCTCGTGATATAGCCAAAAGATATCGCGATATTAGATTTTCCTTATATCGCCCAGCTCTATTAGAAGCTGACAAAAATAGCTATATTTATATGTGAATACAAGAGAACACAAACCAGTTGGGTGTTTTTGTTAGTGTGTGTGTGTGTGTGTGTGTGTGTGTGTGTGTGTGTGTGTGTGTGTGTGT